GTCCATCGTTAAACAGGGGTGGAGGCCTCCGGGTTCAACTGTCCCCCTCTTACAATGCTGTGATTGCTAGTATCACTCAGCCCTCTGTGAACAGTAAACAGCCATCAGTGTGGTAATGATCCATCGTTAGGCTGATGGTCCTTCTTGAGCATGTGATCAGCTGGTTTTGGTTGGCAGCAGCAAAACTGGTTGATCCACTCTGAGACGGTGCTATTTAAGAGACTGAGCTGAATACAGCACCTCAGACTGAGGAAGTCTCTCGGATGAGAGACGAAACGTTTCTACATTTTTTTGTTGATTTGCTTTGTTATTTTTTTTATTTTTATTTTTTTTTTTTTTTTTGTTGTTGTTGTTGAATGTCCAGAGGACCAGATTTAACTTTTTTAGATTTTTCTACCTGGATTATTGAGCATGCATCAGGATAAAGGTGAATGTTATTTATCATTACAGTAGTCCCTCATTTACCTCGGGGTTTAGGGGACCACGCCCCCAGAGATAAGTGAAAAACCGTGAAGTAGGGATACAGTAGTCCAAGTTCGAGTTTCACTCTCAATCTCCCTCCTTCTGTGCAAATAAACAATTTATATTGCGCAGCAGGACATCAAATGGTTAACCCTTTACGTCGCAGCTGATGCAGCACGCAGCAGAAATGTACTTCTTGATCAATTACACTGTAACAACTGAACACAGAAGTTCGGAAATAATTAAAAAATACTTGGAATTGTAAGTTGTAAGACAAAGCAAAGGGTTAACCCTTCACAAAGCTGCTTCAGCATGGAGCAGAAATGTGTGGGTGGCAGGGAGCCACAGGTGGCAGAGAGTGGAGATCATGACAGGCTGCAGAGGGAGCTTCTCCCTGCACCTGTGGGCTGCACAAAAGTGCTAAATCATTTAAAATAATTTATTTTAAATAAACATTCCATGCCGCTCGTGTGGCTCATCCATCAATCAGCCAGTTGTGCGTCATGTCCACTCTTAATTTGAAAAAACGTGAAAAAGCAAGTCCGCGAAAGTCGAACCGTGAAGTAGCGAGGGACTACTGTATAAGTGTTTACTGTCAGTATAGCAGGATATTTATTCAAAATTCAGCAACCAAGGCTGCAGCTAATGATTACTGTCCACCGCCAAAAGGGTCACAGGGGGGCTGACGCTGGGTCACCAGTCCATCACAACACAGACACACAAAACAAACATCACGTTTTAGACAGTGGTAAGAAAACAGAGTGCCAAAGCAGGAAGAACACACACACTGGGATCTAAATGTGAGAACATCTTGCTGTGATGTGACAGAGCTAACCACCATCAACCAGGACTTCAAAGAATAAATTAAATACTTTTTGAATTTTTTAAATTGGAAATACAGATGTGAAAATTCAGAATGCCACTTTAATTTACATGCTATATGTGATAACAGTCACAATGATGGCAGCAAAGAATTCAAGTTCTTTTCTATAAATTAAACAAAAATATAAAAACCTTTTAAAATATGAGTTTGGTGGAATATAAACATAACCAATTCAGTTTTTTTTACCCCACAGATTTCAGATTTTTTGCTTTTCTTCTTTAAATCATGTGTTGTCATTTATTGTAGTTTTGCTAAATCTAATGAAATTGATGACAGAAGCAAAACGGGTCAGATTTCTGCTGTTCTGTCCTACACCAACAGTTTGCCTCTGAATTCATTCATTCAACCTTTATTTATACAGGCTAGTCTCACTGAGCCACGAGGACTCATTTACATGAGAGACCTGTTCCAAACAGAACATATAAAGTACAGAACAACAAGAAGCAATAATAACAATGAACTACAGTAAAAATGCTGTTAAAATAAAAGCAGTTATAAAACAATAAATCAATGTGCCATCAAACAAGGTAAAAATACTAAAAACAAGAACATATTTGCTTTGACATTTCTATTGACCTTATGAAATGTTTAAAATCCCCTAAAGAAATGAAGGTGGACAGCTTCAGTTCCTGTTGCAAGGTGTTCCAGGTTGCAGGAGCAGAGTAGGAAAAGGCCTTTTTGAATATCAAACAGCTTTGGAGGAAAGCTAGAAACAGGGCAGTAAACATGAAATGTTAGTTTGCTGCTCCACTGAGCAATTTTGTTTTAAAATCAGAGTCATATAACCAAGACAGACCCAGAACCCACACTGTATTTTACAGTTTCTTAGAATAAAAGTTAATTAAATAACTTATAAACAACAGTAAATACTGTTCCCCAGACTTGGAGTTTGTGACTGTTAAATGCCAAACCATCTACAGTACCTTCCAAGAGAGTTCACTGTGGTCAAGATAACTGCTGTTTACATACCACCAGATGCTAATGCTAGCTCTGCAGTCTGACATTTACATGATAGCATTAGCAACCAGCACAGCAAGTATCCTGAGGATGTACACATTAGAATAGGGGACTTTAATCATTTAGACTTAAAGGCAGTGCTCCCCAAATTCCATCAGCATGTAAAGTGCTCTACCAGGGGAGCAAAAACACTGGATAAGGCCTACTCAAACATTAAGCAGGGCTACATAGCCAGACCACTACCACACTCGGGCCAGTCTGACCACACACCCCAGCATATGTCCCCCTCAGGAAAACTGCCCCCACCCTTACAAGGACTATTAAAACCTGGCCTGATGGGGTCTCTCAGCAGCTGCAGGCAGGACTGCTTCGAAAGGACAGATTGGAACGTCTTTGAACATTTGGACCTGGAGGTGTTCACAGAGAGTGTACTGTGCCACATTAAAAACCGCATACACTGTCGATGGACAAATGCATCCAGGTCTGCCCCAACCAGAAACCCTGGATGTCCCGTGAGGTCAAACAGCTCCTGAAGGAGAGAAATCACACTTTCAGGTCAGGTGACAGAGTACGCTACTGTGTAGCAAGAGCCAACCCGAAGAGAGGCATCAGGAGGGCCAAGTCATACTACAGGAGCAGGATTGAGGACCACTTGAACTGCAACAACAGGATCCAACAGTCCACAGCAACCCTGCCTTCACTGTTGAAGGGCATAAGGTGAAGCTGCAGTCATGAACAGGATTTTCAACAGGTCATTGGCCCATGGTTCCACCCTGCTTGAAGACATTTACAATAGTCCCCATATCCAAGAAACCCCACATTTCCTGTCTAAATGACTACTGGCCAGTTGCTCTCACTCCAGTGGTGATGAAGTGTTTAGAAAAGCTGGTCAGGAGTCACATGACTTCACTCTGCCCACAAACCTTGACCCTCACTAATTTGCCATCTACCAAATAGATCAACTGAGGATGCCATAGGCACACCCCTCCATGTTTCTGTCTCACCTGGAGAAAAAGAGAGCTATTTGCAGATGCTCTTCGTAGCCTATAGCTCTGCTTTTAACACCATCCTCCTCAACAAATTGGTGGACAAACTGGGGGAACTGGGATTTCCACCCTCCACCTGCACATGGGTAAATAATTTCCTGTCCGACTGCAGTCAGAGAGTTCGAATGGGACGTCACACATCCATGGCCCTCAGCCTCAGCACCGGAGCCCCCCAGAGCTGTGTGCTGAGCCCCCCTTCTCTATGCCCTCTACACACGACTGCACCCCTGCTCACCACAACAACACCATAGTTAAATCTGCGGATGACACCACAGTGGGGGTGGGTGGGGGGGATGAGTCTGCCTACAGGGACAAGGTGAAACAACTGACTGCTTGGGGCATGGGGAACAATCTGCTCCTCAACACCTGAAAGACTAAGGAGCTGACCATCAACTTCAGGAAAAAGAAAATGGTGGTCCCACCCCTGATTATAAGTGACGACAGTGTAGAGAGTAGCTGACTAACATTACCTGGGAGTCCATATTGAAGGGAATCTGACCTGGAGCGTGATCACCTCTGAGTTGATGAAAAAGGCCCAGCAGTGACTGTACTTCCTGAGAATGCTCAGGAGGAACAACATCACCCAAAGACTGCTGGTGTCTTTCTACTGATGCTCCATAGACAGCATCTTAACATACTGCATCACTGTGTGGCATCTTAGCTGCACAGTGGCTCAGTGGAAAGCGCTCCAGTTATCAACACAGCCCAGAAGATCATGGGATGCCCTCTTCTCTCACTAGAAGATCTACACAGTTCCCGCTGCATAGAAAAAGCCCACAACATTTTAAAGGGCACATCTCATCCTGGACATGATCTGTTTGAACTATTACCATCAGAGAAAAGGTGCAGATCAATCAAGAACAGGTTTTAAATAGATTTATCAGTTAGCTGTTACTGAACTTAACAAAAACTATAATAAGAACTGAATAAGTGCAATAAGGGTCAACTCGGGTAATATCAATCTGTTTATGTTGCACATTTGGAGTGTTTAAAATCTGTAATTATTACTTTTTATACTGTTTATATGTATATTTAATTTTGTTGTTGGTTTGTTTTATACCGTTTTTACTTTTGCTCTGGGAAGCAAACCCAAATTTCATTGTATTTAGGTGCAATAACAATAAATGTCTATTCTATAAATGAAATGCAGCAGTTTTCATTTTAATTCCTAGAAAGAAGAGAGAAACTTCCTCCTTGAGGTTCAGCTTACAGACAGACTTTGTGCTGTTCTGCAGATTGTGGAAAGCAGCTGAGCTTCAGCCACGTTTGGAGACTTTCGGTGGCTGGAAGCCAGTTTGGCCACAGAGGCTCTGGCTGGTGAAGACGAGGTGCTGGAGCCAGCAGGTTGTTCCAGGTGTCCGGTAGCAGGGGTTCTCACTTTGCTGTAAAGTCAAGGTGACTCATGGTGGGTGAGAAGTCCACTCAAGTCCAATCTGAGCAAAACAGTAGAGGAAGGCGAGCATCGGTGGGGCAATAGTAGACCAACCTGAGGGAAAAAATTATTTGTAATTACAGAAAAACATTATTACAAAGATTTATTATTAATATTATTACTAGATATTTTTTATTCTAATTTAAACCAATACATTAAATGTAATTTAGCTTCAAAGGAACTGGTTTATAATGAGCTGTTTTTTTAAGATCCGCTTGTTTTGTTTTTTTAATACAGATTTTTGTTTTTCTATTTAAAGCTACTACACCATGGGTCGAGAGCAGGCAGGTAAGGACAGCCGTCTGCGCCTCCTCTCAAAATGGCCTGCCTCCAAATTATCTCAGTAACCTGCACCTGCACCCACAATGCTTTTCAATAGTCTATTCTTCTCTATTCATGGCTAAATTTGTTTCGCATACACACTGGATGCTTCATGGATGGCTGAATTATGAGGTTTTTGTCCCCTCTGAAGAGGACGATCCATTGGAAAAATCTCAAAGTGACATTTATTTATGGTATTTTTGGTTTAGATTTTATATCTATCTTTAGAAAGCCTTCATATTTCTATTAGATGCTGGTAAATGTTAACATGTAATTATATAGATCACAATTTCAGAATTTTTCATTTAAAATGTTTTAATTTCTGACATTTATAGCCATAATATAAAGCCTTTAAGTCTACATCTCTGCATGCATCATGAGCAAAACCAGCTGCTGGGCCAAGACATCCCGGTGTTTTGTCTTTGCAAGAACAAACATTTCATTATCACTCTCAGTATGAAACTGACTCTCCAAGCCTATCATCCAACTTTTACTTTTGCTGATTAAAGCTAGCGGTGAAGTCAGTTGTTAATACTTTAAGACCTGAGGTGCTCTCTAAATATGAGCTCACATACATGTTATTAGACAGAAACATGAAATAACAAGTTCTATTTTTCTGCTAGTGTTAGCCTCAGTCTATGAATGCATCATAACACTACAGATTTTATTATCTGAATAATACTTGATAGTCTGTCATAAAATGTTGCACAGTACATCACAATACCCAATGATTGAGTCATATAACCCCTTTTATCTACAAGGTTTACACAAAACTGTTAAAATAACTTCTGGCTGGACTACGGTGCAATTTAAAATTTATTTTGGCCTCTGGATGATTTGTAACGACTCTCATTTATGCAGAGATACATCTTTAGAGTCATTTTGCTCAGGGGCGTTTTCAGGAGCTGGCACATACCACATGTACAACTCACCAAGCCCAAGGAGACATGCAACATATACAACTTCAGACACACAGTGTGATTAGGAAATTACAGACTTCACCAGAGAGGTCAGAGAGCAATTACACCACTGCCAGAACAAGTGAAAATCCAAGTCAAGCTGATTTGAAAGCATTGATCTCATGTTAATGACACCGCTTCCCTTTGGTGCCTTGTTGTGCAGACACGAGGGAGCATGAGAAGTGGCCTAAAGCAATTCTGGCAGATCCATTACATTTAAAGTAGAAAAAAAACACAAGCAATTAGCGAAGCAGCGAGCTTATAAAGCAGTTTGGTAAATCATCTGTTTCAGATCATTTTAAGTATGCATCATGCATAGTCTATTTCAGTGTCTGTGTGAATCACTATAAAAGCACACATTTATAAATAAATAAAACTGAGACTCCCTGTTTTATTTCCAGGTCTTGCTCTGAATAATTCATAAGAGAATTGGTATTTCCAAACACCCTGGTCTTAATTTTAGGGGTATTTCTTTTCCGCCCCACTTAGTCCACAGAAACTGAGTGTTCAAAAGAGGTCAGGGCTGCTAGAAGAAGCATAATGTTATGCATCATTTGCTGGAAGCCCTCCAGGCTTACAGCAATTTTTTTATTTTACTGTCGCAGAATACAGCTTAACTGGTGACTGGAATATGACCTTAATCGGAATTCTGCAATTTTTTCCATGGTGTTGGAATTAGCATGTTCACACTTACTCTGCAACATAAAGACAAAACAATATTATCTGATCACATCAGAGAAAAGTGAAAATTAGGAGGTGGCGTACAAATAAAGAGATGTTAGATGGATTTTTTGTGTGCCTACTGTACATGATACTGTAATAATGATGAAATTATGACTTTCCAGAAGTTAACAAAGTTAGTTTAAATTTAGCAAATAATAGTGTTTGCATGTACATTAAAATTAGTTGGAACTCAAGCTGGCTTTAGTAAGAATAAAACATTATTGATTTCAATTTTGACCAATAAGCTGAACTCACTGTTTGTAGGATTTAGTATTAAACTTTGATAATTATTTACATTATTGCTAAGGATTAAACAGTTTAAAAAAAATGAGGATTTTTTTAACCTATTTTTAATAATAGAACAATATGTTTTTTTGTAATGTGGATGCCTCTTGTTCAGGAGGAATGAGTTGGACGTTGACACAGGTCAGTTAGTTGTTTGATTGTTGTCAATGATGAAATGATTGGATGTTTGTGCTTTTCTGGTCAACACAATAAAATATTTAGCATTTTGAGACCTGATCTTTACATTTAATTTCTAAGTGTAGGATTCCTGGGTTTCCAGCAACACTCACTCTCTCCACAGCTGCAAACCAGCATCGATCAGCCACCACTCCACACTTGCTTCAGATTGGGAAGGACTGCATTGCTGAGCATATAAGCTCCTGCCAGATGTTCTCCGGGCGCTGAGATATTATCTACCTACTGTAATTAATGGACCGCCAACTAAATCTGTTTCCAAACAGTGTCTGACTAATCTAAAAAAGTTTATTCTGGTCCTCTGGACAATCAAAAAAAAAAAAAAAAACTGTAGAAGCGTTTCTTCTTTCATCCGAGAGACTTCCTCAGTCTGAGGTGCTGTATTCAGCCCAGTCTTATAAATAGCACCTTCTCAGAGTGGATCAACCAGTTTGCTGCTGACAGCCAAAACCATCTGCTCACATAATCAAGGAGGACCATCAGCCCAACAATGGATCATTAGCACACTGATGGCTGTTTACTATTCACAGGGGGGTGAGTGATACTAGCAATCACAGCATTGTAAGATGGGGACAGTTGAACACAGAGGCCTCCACCCCTGTTTAATGAAGGATGGTTTCTTTTCACAAAGATGGCCTCCTTTACTCCTCTCTCAAACCATTGTTCCTCTTTATCAAGGATGTGAACATCTTCATCCCTGAAAGAGTGACCGCTGGCCTGGAGATGAGTGTAGACAACAGAGTCCTGGCCTGATGATGTTGATCTTCTGTGCTGGGCCATCCTTTTGGCCAGTGGCTGTTTAGTTTCCCCGATGTAAGACTGATCACAGCCCTCCAGACACTGAACAGCATACACAATATTACTTTGTTTGTGCCGGGGGACTGGATCTTTGGGATGAACCAGTCTTTGCCGTAATGTATTTTGGGGTTTAAAAGCCACTAGGATGTTGTGTTTAGAAAATAAATGTCTCAGTTTCTCTGATACTCCTTCAACATATGGAATGACCACTGGTCTGGGTCTGGGTTCCTCCTTTTCACTTGATGGCTGACTGACTAACCTCTTGTGATTTCCTTCAGCGACTTCCAAGTCCAGCCTCTTCGAGTCTTCCAAGACTTCTTGCTCCTCGTGGCTTCCCTGTGACTAGATCTTGTCCCTTCATAACAACCAAACAAGTACCTGAAACAACAACGCTCAACCAGGAACAACCTGCTCCTCTGTGTTCTGATACTCACCTCCTCTGGATCCTCAACTCATTCATGGAAACCTATAGGACCTTGTCAGTCCCTCCTCTCTGGCTCCATCTACAAACACAACAACAGTAAGGAATGATTATCTTCTGTTATTCAACCATTGCCATCTAAATCGAGACAAGACACTCACCTTGTACCTTTTCCCTTCCAGCCCTGAACTACTGCACCTGTAAATAAAATCACTTACCTTTTTCACGCCTGGCTGTTTTTTTTTTTTCATTCAGCCTTGATTTATACAGGTTAGTCTCAATGAGCTGCAAGGACTCATTAACTGTACAAGAGAGACCTGGTTTAGACAGGCGACATTTAAAGTACAGACAACAATAAAGTACAATAAAAAATGCAGTAAAGTAGTGTAAAAACAATAAACAACATGCTGCGAAAGTTCAGCTGGACTCCCAAAGAAAATACTGTGTTCCTAAAATTAAAACAGCTCTTCTCAACAGCCCCCATCCTGATACTAAAAAACAATTCATCATAGAAGTCAACATCTCAGACACAGGTGTGGGAGCAGTCCTTTCACAAAGAGCATCTGAAGATGGAAAACTACACCCTTGTGCACTCTTTTCTCAATGCTTCTCCCTTGCAGAAAGAAATGATGACGTCGGCAAAAGAGAATCGTTTGCCATAAAACTGGCTCTTGAAGAGTGGAGACACTGGTTGGAGGGGACTGAACTACCCTTTATTATCTGGACGTACCATAAAAATCTAGCCTACATCCAGGGGCTAAAAGACTAAACGCCCAACAGGCTAGGTGGTCATTATTTTATGACAGATTCAATTTCCGTATCACCTATATTCCAGGTTCACGTAATGTCAAACCAGACACGGTCACTCGCCAGTTCTCTTCTGCCAAAGATCCTGACGCTCCTGAAGGGATTCTACCCGCACCATGTACTGTGGGAGTCATATCCTAGCCCATTGAAAAGGACATTCGAGAGGCGCAAAGTACTGAAGCAGATCCTGGCACCGGGTCTCCTGGGAAGATGCTTGTGCCCACTGCAGTGGTTCGTAAGGCATTGGATTCAAGGTTCAAGGTTCATTATTGTCACTTGCATCACATGTGGTACATGAGATGGAACAAAATTGTGTATCCAAGGTCCCAGTTATACCCAAAAATGGCACAAAAAAAGAATATAAAGTATAATATAAAAAGAAACAGTTTACAAGGATCTAAGCTATACGCTAAACACTAATAATGTAAAATAATAAGGTATTTAAAGCAGCAGCCTGAACATGAGTCTGTAGTGAGCAAAAGGGTATAAATACAGCAGCTTAAAGGCAAGAAATCAGCAGCATGGATAATCAGCAGCACAGATAAAGTCGCATATCACCAATTAATGTGGCATTACAGTGATTTTTATTATATTTTTTATAGTGATTTTACTGGTTAGGGATTTACGACTTTAACAGATTCAAGGTAGAAACTGTTCCTCAGTCTAGTGGTTCTACACTTAATGCTCTGCAACCTCCTGTCTGAGGGAAGCAAGGCAAAAAGTGTGTTTGCTGGGTGAGTGGGGTCCTTCATGATGCAGGTGGCTCTCTTCTTGCATCTGGAGGTGTAGATGTCTGTGATGGTGGGAAGACTGACTCCAACAAACTTCTGTGCAGCTTTCACCACTCTGCAGAGCTTTTCTTTCTCCAGCTGTGCAGCCTCCATGCAACACGTTGATGCTGGAGCGCAGGATGCTCTCCACTGCACACCTGTAGAAGGAGGTGAGGACCGAGCTTCCCAGTCCAGCTCGCCTCAGCTGCCTGGGAAAGTAGAATCTCTGATGAGCTTTCTTGATCAGACTGGTAGTGTTGTTGCCTCAGCTGAGGTTGTCATTCAGGTGAGACCACTTCCACTGCTGATGTTTTGTGTGTGTGTGTGTGTGTGTGGGGGGGGGGGGGTTTGCTCCTTCTGAAATCCACAATCATCTCCTTTGACTTCTTCACATGGATGATTGAATCCACAGTGGATTGGATTGGATCCACTGCAAAATGTACCTGCCACCCAGGCATAAGGTACATGTCACATCTTATTAAAGCCATTTTTGGTGGTCAAATATGCACAGCAATGTTAAAAATTTTGTTTCAGCCTGCCCAACATGTGCCCGCAACAAACATAATAACTGACCTCCTACAGGTCTTCTCTTGCCTCCTCCATCCCACAGTCGACTTTGGTCCCACATTGCTATGGACTTCATCACCGGTTTTATAATGTCTGAAGGTAACTTCATTATTTGCACAATTACTGACTGGTTCTCGAAGTCTGCACATTTCAACCCACTCACTAAACTCCTCTCTACTTTTGAGACCTCTCATATAATGACCAAACATGGTTTTCATCTCCATGGCATTCCTCAAGACATTGTCTAAGACAGAGGTCCTCAGTTCATTTCCCAAGTGCGGAATGCCTTCTGCCAAGCTCTAGGTGCAACCTTGAGCCTGATCTCCAGGTGCCACCCTCAGTCCATGGTCAAAAAGAGAGGTGCAATCAGGAGCTTGAAGTCGCACTGAGGTGTGTAATCAACAGTAACCCTTCTACTTGGAGTCAACACTTATCTTGGATTGAGTATGCACACATTTCCCAAACCTCTGCAGCAATGGGTCAGTCCCCCATTGAGGCCTCAGTGGGTTATACTCATCCATTGTTTCCTTCCCAAGAAACGTATGTTTGAGTTCCCTCTGTTCAGCCCCATATCAGGTGTTGCCACAGAGTTTGGCGTCAAACGAAGGAGGACCTAACCAGGACAGCAGAACAAAAGAAGAAGTTTGCAAACAGATGCCAAAATATGGCTCCAAATTACCAAGTTGGACAGAAGGTATGGCTCTCCACAAAAGACATCACGTTAGAGGACACACCCAGGAAACTTGCCACCAGATATATTGGGACATTTCCCATAATTAAAATTGTCAACCCTTCTGCTGTATGTTTACAACTTTCCCAATTCATGAAGATACACACCACTTTCCATATATCATATCAAACTAGTTACCACCAGTCCATTACAACCTCCAACCAACCTTCCTCCACTCCCCCATCTGATTGACAATGAGCCCGCCTTTACAGTAAGACACCTCCTGGAGGAACAAAGTAGGGGTTGTGGTTTCCAGTACCTGGTGGATTGGGAGGGCTATGGCACAGAGGAAGGCCCTTGGATCCCCAGATCCCTTATACTAGAAAGCTCATTTCTTCATTTTATAGAGCTCATCCTGAGAAGAGAACGAGATCGCCAAGAGGTGATTCTTTGTGGTTGTGGTGGGGGTGGGGGGTTAGGATTTCTAGGTTTCCAGCAACATTCACTCTCTCCACAGCTGCAAACCATCATTGATCAGCCACCACTCCACACCTGCTTCTGATTGGGAAGGACTGCTCTGTTGAGCATATAAGCTCTTGCCAGACATTCTACCGGCGCTGGGACATTATCTACCTACTGGTAATTAAAGGACCACCAACCAAATCTGTTTCTAAGCAGTGTCTGACTAACTTGTGATGTCCTTCAGTGACTTCCATGTCCTGCCTCATTAAGTCTTCCAAGACATCCTCGCTCTTCGTAGCTTCCCTGTGACTAGATCTTCTTCCTGCAAACAACCAAACAAGTACCTGAAACAACAACGCTCAACCAGGAACAATCTGCTCCTCTTTGCTCCGATACTCATCTCCTCTGGATCCTCAACTCGTCCATGGAAACCTAGGACCTCATCTGTCCCTCCTCTCTCGCTCCATCTACAAACACAACAACATTAAGGAAGGACTATCTCCTGTTAATCAACCATTGCTGCAAATCTAAATGTATACAAGATACAGTAGCCCTTGTTTATCGCAGGGGATCTGTACCCTAAAGCCCCGCAATAAGTGAAAAACTGAAATAGGAATAGAGTATATATATATATATATATATATATA